CTCATTAATTTCCTGTACGTGTGTGTTGCCTTCTAGGTTAATTCTTTTTGATCTAACCTTTTCTCTAGTTCCTGGTCCCCTTTTACAGGAACTATTTTGCAGGGCCTGGAATGTAAAATCCCACAAGGCAGCCAGGCTCCGGTGGCTCATGCCTGTAATCCTAGCTACTCAGGAGGCAGAGATATGGAGGGTCGCGGTTCAAAGCCAGACCAGGGCAAACAGTTCACGAGACCCTATCTCGAAAAAACCCTTCAAAAAAGGGCTGGTGGAGTAGCTCAAGGTGTAGGCCCTAAGTTCAAACCCCAGTACCACAAAATAAATAAATAAATCCCATAAGGCAGCTGGGAGTAATGTGCAAGCCTGTAATCACAGCACAGAGGCTGAAGCCGGCGGCAGCCATAAGTGACAATTCCCAGTCTGATAATGCCCCACACCAGAGTTCCCAATCCATCTTACTTCCTTTGGACCACACCGCCCCACTGGACTTGCCCTATTCACAACTAATAAGTGCTCCACGCAGACTACATCTCCCAAGATGTCCCCATCAGCTCCGACTATGCTTCCAACCCTTCAGGCGTTGCAGCCAACGCAGTGCACGCTGGGACTTGTAGTCTCCTCGTGGTTGCTAAACGAGGACGAGACTAGTTCTTTAAAGCGTCAGGTCTGTCTAGTCGCTACAACTACGGGCCCGAGGACTTCCCCTTTCGGGACCGCATGGGCTTTTAGGGCGAACCCTGAAAAACCGCTCACCGTCAGAAGCCGTTGGAGCTGAAGCTGCACCATCATCACTGCCGGCCGCCATGACACCACGCTTCCCTAGCCTGAGTCGTCTATGGTTACGCAGGACTTCCGTTCGTCTCCAGGCACGACTTGGGCAGACAGGAATGGGGAGGGGTCTCGCCTTCCCGGTAGTTGTAGAGACGGACTTCCGTTCAGACCTCCCGGGCTTGGTGCGGAGAGAGGGCCTAGCGCGCGCTGAGAGCCTATTGGCTGGTGAGTCCGGCTCGATCTCGGATTGGCCGGAGCCGCGCCTCCTGGAATGCCGGGAGTCGCGCGCGGTGAACGCGCTGGAGGTAATTATTCCGTTGACCGTGGCCGGATCGTGGGTGTTGCGTGTCGCGTTTGTAGTCTTGTCAACACAGTCCGGTGTTGGGTGGGCAGGGCGGACTTCTCAGAGCACGGATTGCTGCCTGCACTGAGCTTAAAGCATGCCTAGGAGTTAGGAAAGGACAGGGGGTTGCGGGGGAAAGAACAGTGTTCAGAGGAAGGGCAAATCATAAGAAAGGATGGAGAATTCAGGGCGGTCCACCGGACTAGACTGCAGAGGGTGTAAAGCAACCGACTAGCAGGGAAGCTTTCGAGACAGCCCAAACAAGTGATGATGTGGGGCTAGAATTAAGGCTCAGGTAGTAGGGATGGCGAGGAAGATACAACTTGTAAAGCAGTTAGAAAGTATAATTGACCTAAAGGGTGTTTGAACATGACTGCTGCTACCATGAGAGAGGTAGCCCTACCAGAGAGTAGTCCCTCCCCAGGGGCTCCAGTTTCCACCCTCAGGGCTACCAAATCTTTTTTCTTGGTTGCTCCCGTTTGTAGTTTTTCTTCAACTTTACAGAGTCCTTTTCATTATTCAAAATTGCTTGGACGTCTCCCATCCTGAAAAAGAAATCAACTCCTTTGACTCTTCCTCATTATGTTAATTCATTTAATAATTACATATTGTGTACAATTTACACTATACACAATTGGCACTGCTCTGGGGACACAATGTGTCAACAGAAGAGAACTGCTACTGACCCATAGGAAGGGTTGTGGGCTTTTTTGTTTCAGTCAAGTAGAGTAAGCAGACACTGACCAAAAGAATCATGTGTAAATGTGAAATTATAATTGGTAGAAGAGCTATATGAGAGAGTAAGACTGTGGGAACCTGATTTGAACGTTTAAGCCAAGACTCGACAACTGTTAGGTAAGATATAGAAAAGTCCTGTCCAAGCAGAGAACATGGATTTTATGAGGTCTGAGAGTGGACAGACAGCTTTAGGGATTGAAGTGACGAAATTTCAGGCAAATGTGGGGAGGGCCGGAATAGTGAGAGAGGATGAGGCAAGTGGGGCCTTGATCCATGGACCTTCAAAGCTGTATTAAGTTGCCTCTTATTCTAAGAGCAAAGGGTGTGACAGCCACAGCCACCCAAAAAGTTACTTTGTGATTCTACCCAACCTCCTCATCTTTTACCTCATCTGCCACTCACCCCTCCTCCTTCCATTCTAACCACACTGGCCTGCATTTTTTAAAAGTTTTTAAATTCCATACATGATACAGTGTACCTTGAAGAAGTTCACCTCCTCTGTTATATTTCCATTCCCCTCTCCCCTTTTTCCAAACAGTGTTTAGTGGCTTTCATTATGCTGTCTTCATATGTGTATATGTGACATACTTCTAACCTCTTCACCCCTCAGTATCCTTTTCTTTCCCCCTTCTTCCTTCCACTAATACACACACACACACACACACACACACACAGTCCCCTAGATGTGCTTATTGAACCACACACATGCCAGACATCTCCTTAGGGCCTTTCCACTTTTCCACGTGACTAATTCTAACTGCTGAAAGTCATTGATCAGGATTCACTTTAGTAAGGGCCACCTTGACCACGTTGTTTAAAATTACAACATTCCACCCTCATCCTGGCACTTTACGCCCTTCACTTGCTCTATTTTTCCTCTCTATACTAATACTGCTTTTAACATCCTATATAATTTACTTTTTATATATAATATTAATTGTCTGTTCCCATTAGAATACAAGCTTCCTGAAAGCAGAAACTTTTGATATTTTATTTACTGAAGTGAACTGCTTGGCACATAGTAGGCACTCTAAATATTTGATCAAGGGTTTAATGGGAAGCCATTGATGGTTTTATGTAAGGAAATGAATGACATGATAATATCTTGAAAATATTGCTTTCCTCTTTGGAACATGGATTGTAGAAGCGAAGTAAATTCATTTGGCTATGAAGGGGAAGAGAATGGGTTTTGGTTGGAAGATTGCAGGAACTGGACCCCGGGGAAGAGGAGGGACCCTTTGTCCAAGTAAAGGGGAAAGAATGAAGACAGTGCAAACATGGAAGTTTGTACATTTGTTTGTTTTTCTCTGAAGAAGGAAGAAAGCTCTTTTGATGAAAACAAGGTGGTGAGATCAAACTTTGGGGAGTTTAAAACAGGCTTAGAAGGGATTGCAGCATAGCTGAAATGGAGGAATAGTAGTGTCTGCCTTGGGAGCCATCAGGAGTTGAGTGAGAGATAAATAAAGCATTTCGCGAGGTCTGGCATACAGTAAGCACTCAATAAGTGTTAGCTAATTCCTGCTATTAGAGAAACGTCAGCCACAACAGTTAAGGGATCAGTGAAGATCAACCAGATGTGTTTTCTCATTACTAATGGTCAGGAAAAGATTAGGAATAAAAGTAGCTCATCTCTGTTCCCTCACTGATTTGCCATCTTGTTCTCAGACAAATCTTTTTTCTTCTCTAATTCTTGGATTCTCCTTTCTATTAAATGAAAGCTTTGGATAGATGACTACGAAAGGCTTTTTTAGTATAACCATGCTGCATCTCTAAGCAGAGAAACCTCCCATCCACCCCATGCTCCCAGGTACCCAGAAACAACCCCTAACCATACATGCATCACAGTAAGCATCAGGGATACACAAGTATTCCCCAACAACAGACTGCCCTCTTACTTTTTGCATGTCTCCAGGGCTGTCCACATACTAGTCCCCTTGAGGCCACTTACTCAGTTGTACTGGTCATACCTTAGTGCCACACCCAGCCAAGAGCAACCCTATGGGCATCATTTTTTTTTTTTATTCATATGTGCATACAAGGCTTGGGTCATTTCTCCCCCCTGCCCCCACCCCTATGGGCATCTTGTGAACACTTGAAAAAGACTAGACACTGTATGAGTAGTGTTGGGAGACAGATGACTATAATCCCTGCAGTGTCCCCTCATTCAGTCTCATTGTGACTGACTTCTTTGGCTGGGTCTATCTGTTCTAGGCCATCATGAGGAAGCCACGAGCAGCTGTGAAGAGTGGTCACAGTAAGCAGGCATCCAGGCAGGAGGAAAGGGAAAAATATGCCCCCAGCAGCAGCCAGGTCAAGCCTGTTGTTCCTGATGGTAAGGAGATTTGTCCTAGCCACAGTCTCAGGGAACTTTTTCATCGGCCTTGAAAGAGGGCAGATTCAGGCTGGGGAAAGATCACAGTGTGTACTCAAGCATTAAGAGAGTAAGGGGCTAATTCTGACTGTGTTGCTATGTGACTGAGGATTAATTGTTCTGGCTGCTTTCTAACCAGTAAAATGAAACAGTAGCCCATGCATTTCTTCCCTCATGTGAATGGGATCCCTTCCTTTCATGGGATTAAATAAAGTGTTTTTATAAAAAGGAAGCCCTGCATAGGTATATATCATGCCTAGCCGAAACTGTTAGGTTTTCCTTATGGCCTGGAGACAACAGAACAGGACCACCTTGAGAATTAAGGTCAGAAATCTGGCCAAGGCTATATACAACTAAAGAACTCTGGTCTGATACCACAGTGATGAGGGAAGCCCTAAGTGGGAGTGCACTGCCACAGGAGGCCGTGTCCTGGGTCTCTGCAGGTGTGGTCAGGCAGGAGAAAGAGGTGTTGCAGGCCTCTGTCTCCCCATACCATCTGTTCAGAGAAACAGCTGAAGTCCTAGCCTTCCGGGGCAGCCTGCTGAGCTGGTATGACCAAAAGAAGCGGGACCTGCCGTGGAGAAGACGGGTAAGCAGGTCAGGGAAAGGGGCAGTGGGAGAAGAGGCTGGCACTCAGCCCCTTCCACACTAACTTCCCACCTGGGGTTGCATTGACAGGCAGAGAATGAGACCAATCTGGACGTGCGGGCATATGCTGGTCAGTTCATCCATCTCCTGAGAGCAGGGCTGCTTTGTCTGGAAGTCCTTGGGTTTGGGGACTATGGGCTAGGAACAGGGGAGGTTAGCAGTGCCCTCATGCAACCCCTCTCTCCCAGTGTGGGTGTCAGAGGTTATGCTGCAGCAGACCCAGGTTGCCACGGTGATCAACTACTATACCCGATGGATGCAGGTGATGCCAGGGGAGGGAGAGGAGAGTTGGGTCAGACCCCACGACAGCCTATATTTTGGGGTGGGTGTAGAGGCTTATGCCATCGTTTTGACTCTTTTTGTCTGTCTTGGGGCTGTAGAAGTGGCCAACACTACAGGACCTGGCCAGTGCTTCCCTGGAGGTGAGAGCCACCCCTGGGTAGGGGAAATAGAGGCAACTGAGGGACTCATCACTGTTCATTTTTACTTCTTTTTTTTTTAAATTCATGTGTGCTCTTTTTTACTTCTAATGCCATCTACAGGAGGTGAATCAGCTCTGGGCTGGCCTGGGCTACTATTCTCGAGGCCGACGGCTGCAGGAGGGAGCTCGGAAGGTAAAAGGGTGGCAGGGCTGGGGAAGGGTAGGAGCCCAAGGACTTAGCATGTCTTATAACCTTGAATCTTCCTACCCCAATCAGGTGGTTGAGAAGCTAGGGGGCCACATGCCACGTACAGCAGAGACCCTGCAGCAGCTCCTGCCTGGTGTGGGGCGGTACACAGCCGGAGCCATTGCCTCTATCGCCTTTGGCCAGGTGAGTCCATAGCCCACCTGTGCTTTGTGTGCATTCACCCTCCTTCCTTCCAGCCGAGGCTGACTCCTGGGCTCCTCTGTGCCAGGCAACCGGTGTGGTGGATGGGAATGTAATACGGGTGCTGTGCCGTGTCCGAGCCATTGGTGCTGATTCCAGCAGCACCCTTGTCTCTCAGCAGCTCTGGTAGGATATGGGGTAACAGGAAGTTGGGAGGGGTATCTGCAAAGGGTTTTTGATTTACCGTGGTGCTCCCTTCTTTTAGGAGCCTAGCACAGCAGCTAGTGGATCCAGCTCGGCCAGGGGACTTCAATCAAGCAGCCATGGAGCTGGGGGCCACAGTGTGTACTCCGCAGCGCCCTCTGTGCAGCCAATGTCCTGTACAGAACCTGTGCCGGGCACACCAGAGGGTAAGCTACTGAGGAAGAGACAGTTGGTGAGGATCCTAGTAAAGGATCTTTGTCCTGTGACATTCCATCCTATGCCTCTCAGGTATTGCGGGAGCAGCTCTCAGCCTCACAGAGCCTGCCAGGCAGTCCTGATGTGGAAGAGTGTGGTAAGTGCCAGTTCTAACCATAACCCCAGCTTCTCAGTCTTGTCAGTTTGTGTCTGTGGACACATCATTCCAGTTCTTTCTGTAACCCGAGTAAAATTCTGCAGAGCTGAACCAACCCTGCTCTCTGGGCTTGGCACCTAAGCTCTCGTTGCCTGAGTGGGATTGGGGATCTCTATTTCCAGCTCCCAACACTGGACAGTGCCAGCTATGCCCACCTCCCACAGAACCCTGGGATCCCATCCTGGGAGTAGCCAACTTTCCTCGAAAGGCCAACCGCAAGCCTCCCAGGGAAGAGCATTCTGCCACTTGTGTTCTGGAGCAGCCCAAAGCTCTTGGGGGTGCCCGTGTTCTGCTGGTGCAGAGACCCAACTCAGGTACCTGGATACTGAGAGTGGAAGGCAGTGCATGAGCAACAGGGAGGAATGAGGAGTCGGAAGCTAGGGCCAACCCACACCTCGCTGCCCTCCCTCTCAGGTCTGCTGGCAGGACTGTGGGAGTTCCCATCTGTGACCCTGGAGTCCTCAAAGCAGCATCAACGCAAGGCCCTGCTACAGGAACTGCAGAGTTGGGTTGGACCCCTCCCAGCCGCCCACCTCTGGCACCTTGGGGAGGTGAGCAGTAGCAGGGCCAGGAATGATGGTATTTGTGGCCACATCCATAGGTTTTATTTAGCCCCTTGGCCTTCCCCCCAGGTGACCCACACCTTCTCTCACATCAAGCTGACTTATCACGTATATGGTCTGGCCCTGGAAGGGCAGACCCCGGTGACCACACCACCTGGTACTCGCTGGCTGACCCGGGAAGAATTTCACACTGCAGCTGTCTCCACTGCTATGAAAAAGGCACTACGTTTGTTGTCTTCATTGTCCTTCTTTGTGTTTCTTTCGTGTTCTACAGGAACCTATTGTTGTAGAAGCAGAAAAAAAAGGCAGGGTACCCGGGGGTTGGTGGGGGCAGGGGGAGTTCCAGTGGTAGAGCACCTGAGTTCAAGCAAAAAAAAAAAAGCATAATTTAAAAGTGCTGGAGCTGAACACAGCTCAAGGGCAGAACAAAGAGGTTTGGAGAAGGTGCTACCCCTGTCCTTTTCCCCTCTTTTCTTGGCTAGATATTCCGCATGTATGAAGACCATCAGCCAGGGACCTGCAAGGTGAGTCTCATGGCCCTCACGCAGCTAACTCTCCCCAGGCCTGAATCCCAGGGGTTTTTAGTCATTTACTAACACGTTTGGGTAGACATTCTCCACTCTAAGTTTTACTAGAGAGAGAGCAGTCTGATCTGGGGACCTTACAGAATACAGGATAGAGGAACATCAAGAGCAAATTGATGAGGGCAGTACAGTGTCACAAGTATATGAAACGCTCATGTTAGGTTTTGTGAGTAATGAGGTGGGGAGTCATCAGTTCTATATGGGGAGGCAAGGTGAGTCATTTTCTCCAGGTTTGGGGATGGAACAAAGCAGTAAGGATATCCTTTCCTGACCCAAGAGTAGTATGAGTAAAGGTGGGGGACAGTAGAGTCTCCAGTGCTCAAGGAGCTGGAGAAGTCAGCAGGGCCTGCCAGGTCAGCCAGGGCATGAAAACCAAGCTGCCAAAGCAGTTTAGTTGTAGAGATTTGCATCTTAGGAAGATTTTTCTCGGCCTTTAAAAAGTTGATTGAAGGGGAAGATAACTTGGAGCTAGGTAGAAAGTCCTACAACATTATAGTCTAGCACCTGAGCTGTATCAGTAGAGTAGGAGAGGATTTTCTGATGTTCCCACCTTTGGCTTCTGCACAGGGTTCCAAAAGGTCCCAGCTGTCCACTCTGCAAAGCCGGAAAAGGCCCAGCCGGGGCCAGCAAGTCCTGTATAGTTTTTTCCAGCCTTGTGTCCCCGCCAATGCACCTGGCCTCAACAGTGCAGTCTAGATCACTGCCTCTGGAAGCCCCTACCCCTGAGAATGTTTAATAAAGTAATTTTTTTTTAGTCATTTTAGAGTTCTTTCTACCTTCTCCCTAGCCTTCTCACTTCTCATTTCTGAGGGACTCAGAAAGTGAAGTCCTGCTTGGTCCTGACTTCCACTAGCTGAGCTCCCAGACAGCTCTGGGTAGATAAAGGATAGTGTGTTCAGTTCATAGTGATCTGTTCATTCCTTGTCCAGGAGAGTGAAAGCAGCTGCAAAGAACACCTGCCAGTTGGCTGATCCCCAATACCCTCACTCTAGGTCTCAGGTTAGCTCTGAGGCAATAGCATTGCTGTAGAGCAGGTGGTTGGGTGTAACGCTGACTCAGTCTCTTCTCACCTACACTGATTGCTCCCTAACAAGAGGAGCACAGAGGAGGATTCGTTGTCTTAAAAGTTCTACCTCAAATACTAAATCATTTATTAGGGATACAGTTTATATGTAGTGAAAATACAGAAAGCAAAAGGTTAATCACAAAATCTGGGGGCTGTGAAGGAAATGCAATCAGAGAAACTGCAAAGTCTCCAAAAGTATTGGTTATATTCTATGACCTAGTCATATAATTTCATTCTTCATTTTTCATATGCTAAAACTCCCATGTCTTTGGAGTCCATCAAGAGATTCAACTGCTGGCAAGTACTGATGAGATTAAGGCCACACCTGGCTCCTGAGGGCAAAGCCTTTCACACTTGGGTGTCTCAATTCCAGGACAGGTGGTTGCATGTGGCCAGCTATGGCTGGCCTCAGGCTTCCTGTGCCCTGGCAGCTTCCTCTTGCACGGACTGCCATAGTGCCCGGATGTTGTCCTGTCCAAAGCCTGTGGCCCCCTGTCTCTGAATCAACTCTAGGAAGAAGGTGCCCTCAGCAAAGAGGGACTTAGTGAAGACTTGAAGCAGGAACTTGTCATTATCGCCGTCTAGCAGGATTCCCTGTCTGGCCAGAAGGCTAGGCTTGTGCCCTGCAGCTAGGATCTGCTCCTCTTTGCCAGGCTGCTGGTAGTATGCCTCAGGAGGTGTCAGGAGCTGGCCTCCTGCCACCACCATCCCCTCAGTAGCCTCCATGATGTTCGGAGTGTACAGCCCTGCGTGCTGCAGCCCGGGCCCCTTGTGCCTGGTCAGGAACTGCTCCACCTGGTCCTGTTTGCTGGTGGTCCCTGGCAGGGACTCGGCCAGCACGAGAGTGGGGACAACGCTGCCCGGTGGGGTCTGCAGGGCAGTGAGCCGCAGGCCCCCACGCCCAGACCCTGCTGCCACCTCCAGGCCCAGCTCCGGATCCTCGCCTAGACTCAGCGGTAAGTGGCGAAAGCCTAGACAGTCATGGAACCAGCGCCTAAGTGTAGGAGAGCTGCCGGAGGTGCAGGCCAAGGTCAAGTGGTCCACGTGGCTGACCCATCCCGGGCCGGGAGCCGAGGACACGGGTGTGAAGCCGGGCAGGAAGGGCCCGCGATAGCCTGCACGATCTAGCAACGTCAGGCTGAGGTTGCCGGCGGGCGAGCTGACCACGGCGTAGCTGGCTGCGCCCTGCGCGTCCCACACACTAACCGGGGGCACAGGCACCCGGCAGCCGCGAGCCGCCAGCGCACGGGCTACACCGCCCGCGTCGTCCACGTCGAAGCACAGGTTCGTGGCGCTGGGTACCGAATGACACGGATTCAGGCCATAGAGTGGCTCCCCGGGTCCCGAGCCCTCGTTTACCAAAAAGACGGCGTCTCCGCTGCGCAGGGCAAGCTGCCGCCAGCCGCCCGCCTCCCGCGCCGCCAGGGGCTGGAAGCCGAAGAGGTGCTGCAGGTCCCGGGCCAGGGGCTGCCCGGTCGGCACGTGGAAGGCGATGTGGCACAGACGGCGGGCGGGCGCAGTCATGGCGGACCGACCGACCGACCACCGAACTTGTCCTACTGCGGCCGCTCACTGGTCGTTAAGAACTCAAAGACTCTCTATTGGGACGGGTCTTTGGAAGCTGGTGGAGTCCAGATCAGTAACAAGAGCGCGTCCCTCGCTTTTTTCTGGTGAGAGGTCACAGATCGACTGCTTGGTGGTTTGATTCTCCCTGCAGCGCCACCACAACCTGGAGCCGACTCAGGACCACTTGCTCTGCCCGGCGAGTTGTGAAAACCACGCGGACACAGAGCAGTGCTGAGAGACGGGGCGGAGCCTCAGACTCCGCCTTTGACCCAGACCTTGTCGCCAAGGGTACAGCGGGGACGCCCGGCTGCTCCTTTCCAGGGCCTCTGGCCCAGTCTCACCATTGGGCATTGAGCCTCCCTTCCGGGTCCCGGGAAATCACAATAGCCACCTTCACTCCATGCCAAGCGCACTCCTCCTGCGACCTCAGAGCTAAGGATTCTTCTGTGTTGGGGGAGTTGCCCAAATCCTCCCTCCACAAGCGGGAATTTCTTACCAGTTTCATGTTTTTTCTTTACAAATCAAGGGTTTGACTTTAAGTACTGAAGTTCCTTTAAGAGTTTTCTCATTAATATTAAAATGTTTTAAGCTACAGATATTCATTTCCCAAAACAGTCCAGGGAAATTTATATTATAAGAAGATGGGCCATCAGTATAGTGGTCACCCCTTTGACCTGGGCAATCTCAACCATGCCTGTCTCTTCAGTTCTCTCAATGTCTTTTACTTTCTTGTCCCAATCAAAACTGGGAGGAAAAAAAATTTTTTAAGCTGATTTTTTGTTGTTATTGTGGTTTCTGAAAGGAACAGCTGTAGCCCACCCTGATAGAACTAGAATTTAGGATCTCCTTGCTCTTTAAAGTTTCCTAATTGGAGTTGAGCAAGAGGAGCTTTTGGAGGGTGTTTTTTTTTTTTTTTTCTTTTCTTTTTCGATATTTTAATACAGTTCTGTGTATCTGGTTCATTTCAGCTCCTTCACTGCCAGACCTGGGGGCAGGGGACTGCTTCAGCTTCTCAGCCATCTCCTTGTCTGTGATGACCAAGGTATAAAGGTATCTGCTGCAGCAAACTTTAAACTTCATGTCATCCCTGTTTTTCTTGATCTTGACAGATTTGGCATCCTTCCGCCTGGCTATGAGCAGAAAGTCGTTGATTTCTTCAATATTCCAAGGCATGCCTATGCGGCATGAGGACGGTGCAGACCCGCACAGCAAGGTCAAGAACCGAAGAGCTGGAGGGTGTTTCTGATCTTGGGAACAAGGGTTGTGTGAGATCACTGAAGTGAGGAAATTAGAAACCTTCTGGCCCTTCAGTTGGGTGGCCCTTTGGTCAGGAAAGGGCATTGGAGAAGGGCAAAAGGGGTGGGAGTGTGGCTCAAGCGTTAGAGCACCTGCCTAGCAAGCACAAAGCCTTGAGTTCAAACCCCAGTATCTCACACACACACAAAAAAGGCAAAAGGGAGCTGAGCATAGGTGCTCATGTTTGTAATACCAGCACTAGGAGGCAAAGGCAGGAGAATCATGAGTTCCAGGCCAGCCTGGGCTACATAATGGGTTCCAGGGCAGCCTATACTACATGGTGAGACCCTGTCTCCAAAAAATAAATATATACACAAATAAACCAAGGACTGGAGATGTAGCTCAGTGGTAGGGCTCTTGCTCAACATGCACAAGGCCTTGGGTTCCATCCTCAGCACTGCAAAAATTAAATAACGTAAAATAAAATAAGCAGGGCAAAAGGCATAAGTAAATGCTCAAAGAGAATGTGAGCCAAACTCTCATAGGAGTAATTGAGTATTTGGTGGGCATTTAAGATAGACACCATGGTTCAAGACATTGTAAGATATACCTTTGTCAGGCAGCCTGTTCTGTACGGTTTTACTGGCAAGAGAGAGAAGGCTGTCATGGGGTATAGGACTTAAAAAAAAGAGGCCTGGTTGTGTGTTCAGGACTGTGGATATTAGGCAATACCCAGAAGCTGGTTGGTGCTGCTAAAAGGTCACTGCTGCTGCAGAGCAGTGGATGTGAGAACATGGGTTCCAAAGCCAGACAGACTGGCTTTGAAATCTACTCTAACACTTACTAGCATGGCTTTGGGCAAGTTGCTTAGTTTCCTCATGTGCAAAATTTGGAACAATAATAATAATAGCCACCTCATAGGATTGTTGTGATTAAGTAAGGTAGAACAAGGATTCAATGAATTGTAGCTGTGCTATTGTACTGTTCTATTCTGTCTCATTTTTATACAATGCACCTCCCAGAGGTAATTATGCCCCTGCTAAATGGATGGAGGCAGGGACTATACTGGCCTGAGTCAAAGGCTAAACAGCCTAGTCAATGAGCAGTTCAGTAATGGCCCAGAAAAAGCCTTGGCTCACTGCAGGGATTCCTAGGTAGCATTAATCCCTATTCTTTCCTTCTCATTCTCATTCCCATAAAACTTCTCCTTTAAATTCAGGCACTGTGGAAAATGTAGGGACTATCTTAGGGGAACAAAGATGCCCTAGCTCCTGCCCAGCCCCATTTTATTGCTTATTTACTACATGACCTTAAGTAATGTTCTGTCTTCCCATCTGTCAATCCAGGAGTATATAATCCCAGCTCAGCTTCCTTCCCAGGATACCTCAAGGTGAACAGGATGATACTCAACCCTGATTTTGTGCTGGGGCTTTAACTGACTTCAGGGACAATGAAAGAATATACAGTGATGAAATAGAGGCCCCCAACTTCCCTCTCCACCAAGAGGGAAGTCTCTCCATTACTACATTCTAGACTATGCAGAATGTGTGCAGCTAGGGAGTTGCAATCAAGAGGCCTAGGTTTTAACCTGTGAAGCTGGGCCTGACTGTGTAGGGCCAGGACGGGTATTACTAATGGTGGCTCTGACCTGGCTATCAGTAGGGCCAGGGCAGATTAAGGAACAAAGCAACAGGGCCACAAAAAAGGACTGCAGTGGAATCAAAAATAACACATAGTAGGGCTACTCCCCTAGTACTGGAAGGTCCCTGGGAATAGGATTCTGTGAGGGCTGGGGCAAATTGGGATACCTTAACCCTTCAAAGTCAAGTAACTAACTCCAAGTGAGCAGCTCCAGGGCCTCCAGGCCTTTGGTCCAGCCTTGAGTTTCTACTCAGGGCCTGAGGTACCAAAAAAACCAGAAACAAAACCCTTGGTCCTTCCAGTTACCATCTGCTGGCAACTGTGTGTGCGTGTGTGTCTGAAAGACAATGGTGATTATGGCTGGGGCATGGCGCTCTCTAAGGACACTGTACTTGACCTTGACCCGGGCACAGGCTGGAATTTCAAAAGAAGGGTTGAAGATAGAGGAGGTTGTAAATGTTGTTCTCCCTCAGGGCCAGCTAGATTCCACTTCCTGCAGTTCTGCTGACGTCCAGACTATGACCCACATAGGACCTCTGTTCCCTTACTGTCAGGACCCCGAGAACTTTCGCAAGATGGATCCTTCAAGCATAGCCACAATTGCCCTCCTGTAGGGGTTTCGGGTGCAGGTCTAGACTGGAATGAACTGGAGGGGCGGGCGCGCGGGGCCGAGGAGCAGGGTGGTGGAGGCCTCCTGTCGCTCATGCCTTCTGTGGCAGCACGGTTGGCAGTGGTAGTGGCGAAGGTTATGGAGGACAGAGGAAGACAAAGCGTAGAGGAACGTTCCTCCAGAAGCTCTCGGCTTAAGCCTAGTGGCTAACTGGAGCGTATTTCCAAGTCCGGAAATCCCAGCCTCTCCTCTCCCCTCCCTAGCCAATTCCAGCCCAGACAGGCGGAACACTCCAGCCCCTCGGAGTCCAACCTTACTAATTTCTGGTCCCGCCCCTCCCTAGCCTCCCTATCCGCCTTCCAGGCACTTGTCCCCGGAAGCTCGTCTTGTTCTGGATCCGCCCCTTCCTGGTTCTGCTTGGAGCTCTTTCATCTTTCCCTTCCGCCGGAAGCCGCTCTCGTAGCTCCCACCTTTTGGGTCCGCCTCTGCTCTCGCCTGACTGTCCCTCTGCCAGCTTGTGGAGGGCTTTACGATTTAAGGGGTAAAAAAATGTCACCTCCGTCGACTCCAGAAAACCAGAAAGAGGTGACATTTAAGTTTGTGTGTGTGTGTGTGCGCCAAAATACACATATGCAATATTTGCTAACTTAACCTTTTAAGTGTATAGTTTGATAGTATTGAGTACATTCACATTGTGCAACCATCCCCGACATCCATTTATCGAGCTCTTTTCATCTCCCCCAGCTGAAACTCTGACCCGGAAAACAGTGACTCCCCGTTTCACTTTCCCCCACCATTCTACTTTATGTCTCTATGATTTTATTGTAGGAATCTCATATAGGTGGAATCGTGCAGTTTGTTGTTTTTGCAGTGTCCAGCATCGACCCAGGGCCTCCTGCGTGCTGCTAGGCAAGCGCTGCCACTGAGCTACATCCCCAGCCTCCAATATTTGTCTTTTTTTTTTTTTTTTAAATTACTGGCTTATTTCATTTAGCATAATGTTCTCAAGGTTGTGTCCTGAAGCTTAGTGAAGAAATGAGCCAGATGGCTCTGGATGGAAGACTACTTTCCCAGCCCTGAGACAGAAATGTGGCTGGTGTATTAGATCAAAAGATCAGTGCAGCAGAAGGCAGATACAGAGCAGGGAGAGTAGTATTGATAATTTTTTTCTTGCTTTTTGAGACAGGGTCTTGCTATGTAACCCAGATTGGCCTAAAATTCTCAGTCCTCCTGCCTCAGCCTCTGGAGTGCTGGCGCTCTCTGGGGACCATTGCTCCATGTAGAAGGGGAGTGAAAACCATCAGTACTTAACGTACTGTCACCATGTGTAGAGACCTATATATAAAACAACTTCTCATCTCTTCTAGTCACTATGAAGGAAGAATTTCACCTGGGTAAGACTATCTCAGGTCTCTGGCTCTCACCTAAGTTCACATCATTAGTGAGCTCACTTTACTGATTTTCTTCTCTCACCTCTATCTTCATTCTCACCCCCTTCTTTTTTTTTTTTTAATACCGGGGTTTGAACTCAAGGCCTACACCTTGAACCACTACACCAGCCATTTTTTGTGATGGGTTTTTCCAGAGATAGAGTCTCACCAACTATTTGCCCAGGCTGGCTTTGAACTACGATTCTCCTGATCTCTACCTCCTGAGTAGCTAGGATTACAGGCATGAGCCACTGGCGCCCAGCCACTCTCACCCTTTAAGAGAAATTCTCAGGTCTCCCTCATCAAATAAATAAATAAATAAATAAATAATCCCTCTATCCTGCTTACAGTTGCTGTTGTATCTTTCTTCAACAGCAAACTCCAGTAGCCAAACTCCTAAAATTTATTGGGTTGGATGTTTGGTGCTGGGAATTGAACCTAAGGCCTCTTGCATGCTAAGCACATGCTATACAATGGAGTTACATCACTAGCCTAAAAGTTGTTTTTTAAAGATAGCTAAATTAGGGTTGGGAGAGTGGCTCAAGTGGTAGAGCACTTATCATGAGGCCCTAGTTCAAACCCCCATAACACACACACACACACACA